TGCTGTAATATATGGTGGTATCTTTAAAGTGGTTTCTCAGGAAGACAGAGATATGCAAGAAAGATCTAAAAAGTAGTTACAGCCTAAGGGTTGTGAGAAATAGCGGATTACCTCCTCACCAGTGACTCCTTTCACTGAGGTGTGATGGCTGGAAGGAAGGCCAGGACTGAAAAGAAGGACTGAAAGACTTGCACCTGTGTCTAGCAACAGGCTGTTTTCTTTTTCCTCTATAGTCATGATTACCCGGGGCTCCTCCATGGAGAGGACGGTCTGGCCAGAGGGAGAAGGCAGAGTATGCCCCGGGCTCCCTCATTCTTGTTGGACTAACTGGTAGGATAGGTCTGAGCTCTGGGGCCTCCGCTTCAGAGGGCAGACCGATCTCCAGTGGTCACCTTTGCATTCAGGAGGGATAAATTTAATAAGCTGTACAAGAGCTCAACAATGAAAATTATAAAATAATCTCTGAAAGAATTTAAGGAATATTTAAATAATGGAGACTATATTGAAGGATTGGAAGGCTCAGTGATATTAGATGTGAATACATTCTCCAAGGTGATTTAATTCAATTTCAATCAAAATCTTTACCAGCTAGTATGTAGAAGTTGACAAGCTAGTTCCAAAATGAAAAACCACATAGTTGGAGTCTTTAACTGTCTGATTCCAAGATTACTATAAAGCTATAGCAATGAATAGGCTAGGCACAGTAGCACTAGCCTATAATCCCAGCTCTGGCAGGCTGAGACAGGAGGATCACAAATTGGAGCCCAGCCTTAGCAACATTAGCAACTTAAACGATCTCCAAAAAAAATGCTTTTAAGGACTGAAGATATAGCACAGGTGAAAGCCCTGAGTTCAGTCCCCAGTAAGAGGAGAGGGATGAACAGAATGGAGTACAGTAAAGAGGGTGTGTGATGTCCAGATGATTTTCTACAAAGGCACTAAAGTGATTAAGTAGGGAAAGGGAAGTCTTTCAACAAACAGTAATAGAATAGCTCAGGAAGGAAAAATTAACTGTGACCCCCTAACTCACATAATGCACAGGAATTAATTTGAGATAATAGACCTAAACATAAAACTATGAAACTCTGAGAAGAAAACATGAGATGTTTATCCTTTTTTTTTTTTTCTGTTACAACAGGGTCAATCAGAGACAGTATCTTTATCATAGTGCAGTGGTGGGTTATGGGACTATTTCAAAATATGTCAAATTGGGAGCTGGGGTTTAGCCCAGCGGCACAGCGCCTGCCTGGCAAGTCCAAGGTTGTGAGTTTGATTCCCGGTACCGGAAAAAACCAATCCAAAAAAAAAACCAAAATATGTCAAATAATACACATTTATACATTTCAGCACATGTAAACTTTACCACAAAGAATGTTGTGGGAGAGTGGCTAGAAATGTAGATGAGACAATAAAGGCAATGTGTTATTCATAAAGCTAGGTAACAAATAAATTATTCTCTTTACTTTTTTATGTATTTGGATTTTTCCATATATTTTAATTTATGCCAGGCATTGCATTTTGGCTTACACCAATAATCACAGCCACTTAGGAGGCTGAGGAAGGAGGATCAAGGACAGCCTGGTCAGTCTAGGGAGACTTCTCAAAGTTTATTATTTGTTTGTTTTTGTGTTTTGTTTTGGTTTGGTTTTGAGACAAGGTCTTGCTATGAGCTCAGGCTTGCCAGTGATCCTCCTGGATCTT